CTGTATGATTTTAACTTGAGATCGCATCGGCTCGGTAAACTTTCGAGTACTTTGAGTTTACTGCTCTACCTTTCTCAAGCCAAGGTCAACTGATGCTTGAAAAGTAAAGCAAACTTGCTGACTTCAAGGAAGGCTTTGCGCCCTTTGAACTATTCTACGGCCGATAAACTTGTTGATGCGTCTAAAATCTATATTTTAAGGGAGGAGTTTGTGCTTAATTAAAAAACTTTTAGAATTTTTGAGACAATAATCAAGAAAGTTTCACACTCACCTTTGCTGATACGTCGTGTACATCATGGTTTCCTGTGTGAAGAACATGCACAAAAGTAATATCATAAGTGATGTTTTGCGCAAGTTGTCTTCATGTTTACGCCCTTGAACCGAAACATCAGTCCACAAAGTACTAAAAGCATAAGCGCTGTGTAATTTTTAGAGGTGGTAGTTGACAACTATGAGAGGAAGTGAAAGAACCGTGGCGAAACATGACAGAACGTTTACTCACTACAATTAATAGATATTAGCCATACCTTTTGCCACGGAGGGATCCAAGGACAACTCCAGTAACAGGAAAGTCCAACCAGCCATGAAAAGAAACGATAAGCTTTTTCCAGTCATTTCTTAGATCTGAAACACATGGAAGAATACGTAAAACTTTCAAGTCATTCAGTTTAAATCGTAGTAGACAACGTATTCAACTCACAATCCGGCAGAGTTCCTGAGCTTGAGTTTATCCTTTGGCCTCAGTTTATTCTCAGATAGTCCCGAGAGTAGGTCCTTTACTAAGCCGGGCTGATAACGAGCTATATTTCTTTCTGTCAGGCAGGATTTTTAACCATGTCGTGTGAGGTTATGTCATATCATTTCATGTCAATTGATGTCAAATCTTGTTAAGTCATGTCAATTTATGTTTAGTGACGTCACCTCAGTAGTCAATTTAATGGAACGCATGTCAATTTTATAATGGGCTTATTTCCACACAAGTAAGTCTTATTTTATCTGAGCAGCGGAAAGTGTGACATAAAGCATTATCATTTTGACACTTATAGTGACGAAATGCCGTGAAAAATTCCAAAAAGCCACTAAAGAAAAGGGGCAACCAGTGTGGCGTTATGTGAATCATGTGTAAGATATTCCTTCCGTTTTTCAGTCGCTTGCTTGAGTAAGTGAGGTTTTTTAGTACAGATAAGAATCGGAAAGTTATATATG